TTCTCATAAATATGCTAATTAACTGATTTTCAGGAAAAAATTCATAGTTAATAAGTCTTTTGTAATAAAAAAATGCAAGCAGCATCACCTAAAGGCCTGTCTACACGAAGCGATTTTCTAGGCCGACTTTCTGGTAGAGCAACAATTTTAAGGATCTGTGCAAGTGCCAAAAATAGGTCATGTTTTCTGCCATGATTTCAGAACTGGTGTTCACTGTTCATTAGCACATGATAAAATCAGAGTCTCTAGCCAATAAGATTGCTTTGAGCGATCACATGCTTTTCTCCTCATTTTTTGAATAAATAATAAATATGGCTGTATTTCGTTGGAGCAAAACTCAAATTTTTCAACTAACAGATTTCTATACAGAAAATGTTGTATTCTGGGGCACGAGTAATGTAAATTTTAAAAATAAAAAATTAAGGGATTCTATTATTTTCATAAGCTTTGTCTTCCCCATTACTTTATATGTTCAAATAGTTTCTATTTGGGGTGAAAATTATTTTAACTCCCCCAAGAAAAGTTCCAAAAACTATTAATGATGCCATGTCATGAGTACTAAATTAAAATATTCAGAAACTACTTGAAACTATGGTTGCACTTATTGAAAAAATTCAGCAAAATCTCCAGTCGAGAAATTACGGGCCGGATTTAAAGCAGAGCAGAGACTCATTGACTTCGCCGAAAATGGAAGTTAATCACGTGACGAATTACATAGCTTTTCCGACAACTCTTATATGAGTGATCGTAGTCCAGTGGTAAAAAGCAGAGGACATTTTCTCCGGACATTGAGATCATGAGTTCGATCCCTCTACTTAATTTTGGACTTTCTGTTACTGCAAGGACTTTTTAATTTCGTTTTTCCATCACTAAATTCGAACTGCATGACTTTAGTCACTTTTTATTTTTTCACCTACAGGTGTAGTATTTATTGAAATTTAACACCTTTCTTTTTATTTTTTGAATGGCCTTTAGCATGTATTTTTAGATCTACTGGTGAAAACTCTTTAGTAGTTGCGTACCAGCTCAAAAGAAAGTCACAAACTCAGTTTTGTGTTAATAGATGTAAATAAATTACAGCCCAATTTAATAGAATATTGCTAAATTTTATTAGCTGATTAACTAATACAATCATATGATCACATAGTTTTCAGATGGTATTATATTTAATTATGCTGATATTAGTTTTTTAATGTTCAATAATATGCTACTTAAGACTTTGCACCTTTATGAAATTTCTTATTTGAAATTTACACACTGAAATTACATTGTTGCTTTGTAATGTAGTAATCTTTATTCTTTATTACTACTTTTTACTCTTACTGATATGATTTTCATAACATTATTGTCTGTTTATTCAGTAATAAAGGTTTTGATTTTTTTGAAATTTGAAAATTTGAAATTTGAATTTTGAAAATTGAATTTTGAAATTTGAAAAAATAAGTACCTACTGAAGCACAGTAGGTACTTATTTTTTCTGAAACATGGTTATTTTACTATTTCAAGATTTAAGTGCACAAATAGGAGTGCCAGAAATGAATTTTTTTAAAAAATGGAGTAATCTGCACACTCAGAACACAAAGGAAAAGCCTTTTTTTATATATATATAATTTTGCTGCAAACTTAATTTAGCTAAAAATCAAAATCTCATGGCATCATCTGTAAATACTTTCCGAATTCCACCGTGTCTTCAATAATAAGCAAATCCCGGAGCAGGGTATTACACGCGCCATGAATTTCTTGTCGTTTGATTTAATTTCCATTTTCCCCACTTCTGCAGCAGTAAGTTAAGTTCAAAATTGTACCTGTAGCTATAGTAGCAATTTAAAGTAAAATAGTCATCCATTATTTTGACTATTTGACAGCACCGTAAGCTTTGCTTACAAAGCGTAGACAGACTAACACTGTAGAGGGCGGGAACACTTCCTTTACAGTGATTGGCTGAGTGAATTCCTGTACTAATGAGAAAATTGTTCCGTGTACACAGGCAAGCTATCTTAGATATTTTCAGCCAGCTAAGTCAGCCAAGGAAATCGGTACGTGTAGATGGGCTTTGATTTCAACATCCAAGGCTCCCCCTTCCTGTTATGGGAGAAAGCAATCCTTCCCACTGTGCTTCTTTTTGTTTCTGAGTCACACTGCAGACACCAGGTCTCATCTCCCAATATGGTAAACTTTCAAAAATTGTTGTCCTGTCTTGTAGTACTCAGCAAATCTTCATAGCAAGCTTTTCTGTCTTCTTTTTGCTGTTCTGTCAAAATCCAAGGAACAAAATGAGCAGATAAACTTTCTTCATTTTCAGATTTGCAATTAAAATTAACAAGTTTTCTGAAAACAGTTCTCTTTTTCTCCTTGTGAAGAACAGTAATATAATATTCTCTATCATTAGTCCGTAATATAATATTCTCTATCATCAATGATATTCTTTTAACTATTTATCAATTTTTTTAATACAGTCAAAAGTCTTTAATCCGGACTCGCCGGGACTTCGGCGATTCCGTATTTTCCGGATTATAGATCATCAGCTTAAATCTGGTAGGATGGCATGTAGAAATTATAAAATTAAAAATATGAAACCATAATTTATGAAATAAAAAGCAATTATGATCTAAAGGGTATCAAAATTTACAAAAAAAAAAAAAAAAAAAAAAAAAAAAAAAAGCTTTATATTTATTTGTTTAACTTTATTAAACATTTCTTTCAACGCACACATACGTAAAGCATACATTACGCATAGTCAAAATTAGAAAATTGCAAACAGAAAACTATTTGATGTGTATTCGTGATACTTATAATGACGAGGAATTTGATTTAAATCATATCAAAGACGGAGTACATCGAGATGAAATACTACATTTAGTAAGGAATTATAAGCCGAATAAAATAAAAACATCTGCCCTGAAGATAAGGATAGTGCTGACAGATCAACTTCCAGTTCATTGCATGTTCAGTTTTACACTTTTTGTAAGCCAAAATCTTTTTCTCACTAAATTACTGTATACTACCTAGTTTTCATCATAGGCCAAAATCCAATTAAAAAAACTGCAGCTTCATAATTATTAAATCAGATAGTATAAGCAGCAATCCACTAGTCAACAATCAAACTCCCCCACCACCACTACAAGTTCTTGAGGTACCTAAATGATAATTCTTTGGAAAATATTTAGTTAATACAATGAAATAAAAATGCTATACAATTAATATACCTTTTCATTAATTCTTCTGGTGTTCAGTAGATATTTTTTTTAACCTGCTACAAACTAGTAAGCTTGTTTTAGTTGCAAGTTACTTTAAATATTTACTCTTCATTAAATTTTTACTCTTAGTTAAATTTTTACACTTTACTTGTTTTAATAATTTTTTAATCTTACTTATTTTTGTACTTTAAAATATCATTACCAATTCACAATGATTTGTCAAAACAATGTATATCCCTCACGTTGAATCTGCCAGGAAGAAAGTTCCTAAGCCACAGTCCCTTTAAAATAAGCACATCAAGGATGTTGTCAACCTTCCCATTTGTGATTGTAAGGCCATGCCGTCATCCCACACAGCACTTATTTTCTCCACCTCATATATTATAGTTCAAGTCAGCCCTCATTCATGTGCTTTTGGAAAAACTAAATGGAAATGAAATGGAAGGAAAAAAATTAGGTGACTCAAATCATCTGCTGCAGGCTCTTATTTCAATGGTTATGATGGAAACTAGGTAGTGGAAAATAACTTTAAGTTCCTATTTTAAAGTAACAGACTATAGTTTTGGCATGTATGTTCTAAAAAACCATAATCGCTTTGAAACGTTTTATTTATATTTCCTATAAATCCAGTTACCCTCCCCCCTTTTTTTTTATATTATCAGTTGAAAACACATCTTCTCACACCAAGGGATACATCAATCCCATTTTTTACACACACGTTTAGTGAAAAATCCATACATTTTACACATGCATCAAATGAAATTAATTCTCCATCTATCTAATAGAAACTGTAGAATTAAACATGTCTACATTCTATGACATTGAATTTCACATAAACAAAAATATTTAAGTTAATAAAAAATATTTTAAAATTTTCTTTAACATCACTTCAAACTATCAAAAAGAATGCTACACACTGATACTACTAAATAAAATAAATTATTCGGGGTTTACTCAAATATCTGATATATCATTTAGTGCATTATTATTTCCATACTACATTGCTAATATAAGTTATCTTACATATTATCATTTATATCTAAATTAGAATATTCACCATTGTCAGACAATGGAAATACAGCTGAACCTCAATCTATAATTTTTTAATGGGGTGAAGGGAAAAAATCATGAATGAGAGAATGAGTTCAGCCAGGAAATTATTACTCATTGAAAATAAACATTTTGAGCATACTACATTAAAAAACTACTTTTCAAAGAAAGAAACATTATCCTCAGCTAATTGGCTGAATTTTGCTTCAAATGAAAATATAACTGTTCAAGTCTAATGTTTTCACAATCAGCTTTGCTTCCATTTTGGACACAGAAAAGTATTTTAATCTTTTGTGAAACTTAGTAAATCTTTGTGAAGCTCTGCACCATCTTTTGCTTATTTTTATCTTGATCTTCTTTCACATTCCTTGTAAAATGATCTGTGTATGTGTGTGAGAGTGAGAGGGACTGTGTGCTTGAATGATTAATGGAGTAGAATAATACTTCAAGGAATAATAGATGGAGGAAATAATACATCAAAGTTCTAAGATAAATAAATAAAAAAAAAATATCCTTAGCTCTTAAATTAAAATGTAATCAAATTGCTCATGGCAAACAACCATTTCTGAAAGTAACCAGTATCTTTTATATTACACATCAAAAATGAACATCACTCTTTAAAGCAGAGTTACCTTTACAGAAATCAAAATCATCCAGAACCATGCATGGTTTTCTTTAAAGAGGTTTCATTACATGTAATTAAGCATTACCCCCCCAAAAAAAAAGATATGTTCTAAACAAAGAAAAAAATACCTCTTTCTGAAGAGCAAGTTCATTAGCAGCAAAGTCTGCAGCAGTTGTAAGTAATGTGTGCACATTCATAGACATTTGAGATAGGTGCATGGATATCATTGTCAATTCTGCTCCTTGACTTAACAACATATCACGACAATTTCCTTGAGTCCTGTCTAATTCTGCCCGCAAAAGCTGCACTTGCAAACTATAAAAATTTATTAAAAATAGTTTAAAGATTGGGATCTAATAATTTTATATGAGTCAATTCATAATAAATACCATTCAATTTTAAAAAATTTGTTTAATAAATAAATTCTAAAAGTTATGAAACATGACTACTGAAAAATTATGAAGTAATGAAACTTTAAATTTAGTATCAGCTAAATATAAATTTTTACTACTTTTTTATGTGATTCACCTATAGCAGACAACACTGATTGAGGAACTCTGATTAAAGACTGACAGGTATTTGTTACTAGCATTGTCAATCTTCATTTATTTCATATCTATTTAAATACTTGAAATTACCAAACATGCATTAAATCTGAAGATAAGAATAATAATATATAGCACATTTATGAGTTATTTCACTTCGTATAAAAGACTATAAATACTGTGTTTATAAAATCTTTTATAAGCACAGTATTTTGTAATATGCAGGACAGCCAGAAAGTCCCTTTACATGTGCAACTATTTCATTGCAATTTTAACAACACTTACAGTTATCTGTTCAAAACATCCATATGTGTACCACCATTACCCTTGCATAACTTGATATGCTTGAATGTCCTCCTACTCATCCACTTTAGTAGCTGTGATGTCACATGCAGGAAGACTTCAAGCATTGTCTGGTCTGGACTTCAAAGCAGCCAAGAATAAGGGGCTAGAGAATTTGGTAACCCACGTCCTATCCACTGGCTAGAGAACAATTCCTTCAGGCATTCACAAACAGCAAGTGACAAGTGGACAGGAGCTCCATCCTGGTAGAAAACCATGTCACTGATGCCCAAATTTTGTAGCTGTGGAAGTCATTGAACATCTCCCGATAAGTAACCTGGGTGATAAAACTTTTTAAGAAGTATGGACCAAAGAAGTGTTTTTCAGCCATCGCCATGAAAAGCATGCTGTGCACAGGATTGTTCTCAATTTATTGATAGAAATGTGGGTTTTCCTTTACACATATGAAGCTGTTTCTAACCTCTAACTCTGATAAGTAGCAAATTTATCAGAAACAAAGAATACACTTCTCAGCAGGAATAATGGGGAAGGCCTCGAACAAGATTTTGCATGTGTTCCTGCCAATGGTTTAAATCCTATTCCATTACTTCATTGATGTCCATTAGCCAGAATGCTTGCAGGCCTAAGTCCAATTTCATGTGAAGTTACATTGTGCTCCTTTTAAGTTCTGTAGCATGCTTTCTGGTTGACTTGCAGGGTGAACACATCACTAACACACTAACTTTGTGTTTCCTTTCGGGTTTATGGATGACCAAAGCGTGCTGGGGGGGGTAATCCAAAACACTTCCCAAGTGAAAAGGTTTCTTCTCTCACCTGATCAGAGTCTCAAAACTTAATGGCTTCTTCTGAACTGTTCTCAAAACCTATCCATCATTGTCATATTTTCATTATTGTGCTTTCATTCAAGGATTCACACACTTGTCATTAAATGCTCAAGGTGAAGTTCCTGGTATTTGCCACTATTCTTTACCAAGCACAGAAAGGCACAATAATGAACTGGTCAACACACAGACTTCTTCTTCTTCCCAGGGAATAATGTAACAGGTATGCGACAGTCAAATTGAAACTCACATGAGGAGCACTGTTGCCATATCATCAGGATGCGAGGTTCAAATCTTTAATACCTGACACTGTTAAATGCATTTCATTCAGGCATAAAAGGACTTTCTGGCCATACAATACACAAGTAGCAAGTTCAAGGCCACATCTGGAACAAATGTTTAAGATTGAGTTTTCTTAAAAACAGAATAAATAAATGCATATAATTTAAATTTTATTTTAAGAAAATATATATATTTATCTTATAATATATAATAAATTTTAATGTACCTTATTTTCTGTAAATATCTTTCAATATTTTTTAACTTTTATATTTCAATATGTTTATTATGTTTTTAAAGATTACCTTGAATTATATTTCATAATTTTTCAAAAATTGCATTATGTTTATAATTATGTTTATAAAGATTACTTTGAATTAACATGCATGAAAGTGAGGGTGTCGAGGGAAACTTTACTCAAGTGAAAGGAAAAAAATTTTTACTAGTACTCAATTAAGCAAAAAAGAAATTTTTACTACTACTCAATTTGGCACTAATATCTCATGATATAAAAAATTCATAAGCTAAACCTAACTGCTACATTCATAATGAATTCTATATAGTCCTTCACTTTAATTCATCTCACTTTAAATCTAATTGGCTTAAACTCAACTTACCAGTTTGGCATCTTACTACTTACTTGAGTAAAACACAAAACACCTCCCATTTATTAATTATTGTTGATTGATTGGGGGTTGGTTTGTTCCCCTTGAAAAGTCAACCAATTTCCGATCAATGACGATAGTTACTTAGTTTCTTATTAATTTTCATTTTAAAAGTTTCCATTTCAATTTTCCATGATTCAAAGTGAAGTTTCTTTTTTAAAAAATTTTTTCAAGATTCAATTTTAAATGCTTCTAAGTTACTTCATTCAATTATGATTCTACTAACTTTATCTAAGGAGATAATGTACTCAATAATCCATTAGTAAATAAATTATTATTTTATTACTTTGCAGCTATTGCACAAGTATTAGGAAATTTATTTTGATTTATGAATGTATTTAATTTAAGTCAATCTTTGCCATATATATATATAAATTCTAAATGAAAGTAATGAGTAAATTATGCCCTGCAGTAAAGCTGCAAAGTAACAAACCAATAATTTATTATCAGAAAACTTTTCATATACTATCTCCAATGAATATTTTTTTAATTTAGTCCATATTTTAATTATTTTTTAAAACAGTATTTTCTAAACATCTACTGCTTTAAAAACATAAAAAATCTGTAAAAAAAAAAAAAAAACCTTTTTTTAAGGTATTGAAAAAAGTTGCTGTTGCCATTGATCGCAGGTTTATCGACTTATCCAAGGGGATAACCAATCTTCCAAGTTTATTTTAATTTCCTTTTTTAAATAACTAATTTTACAGATTTTCTCAATTTTGATCTTCTTTTGATTTTAATTACTTTTAAATGTTTAACTTTTGTTTTTACCTTTATATTTGAGTTTGAAAATGAGTGTCAGCCTTCTAAAGTGAGTTACTTTTAATTGTTTCCAGTTTAGTTTAGTTGTGTTCTTAGTGAGCAACTTAAATTTAAAAGATTTTTCACTAATTTGTTTAATTTGTTCTTAAATTTTTTGGCTTAGATGTACTAATGTCTTTATTTTGATTGAGTATTAATCATGACTTGTGAATTGGCTCTAGCAGAAGTACGTAATGATGTGTGAAGAAGAATATGTTTTGATAATTAGTTTGTTGTCCAGCAATAAAAATTACGTTCAATTTGGTCACGTCTGTCTACAAGTGTATTCTTGGTTATGCATCATTCAAACTACACAACAAAATAACTGCCCAAACCTGTTACAGCCATTGCCCAGTTATCAAGATAGTTACAGTTATTATTCTTACACACACAAGAATAAGCATAAGTATACGTATATGCTGGGATGCAAAACTTAAGGAATAACATTACATTCAAAAGTAACTACCACAAAAATTAAAAAAAAAAAAAAAAAAAAAAAAAAAAGAGAGAGAGAGAGAGAGATTGTGGTAAAATGCATAACCATAAATCTTCAGCAGAAAGCTGGTTCATATACTGATTTTAAAATCATGATTTTAAAATTAACATTAAAAACTCTCCCTGATTCTCTCTAAATTTTTAACAATGAGCATGACTGTTACAGATCTTTGGTGAATTTCATTTCACACTGCAGAAAACAAGATGACCACCAGGGAATATTTAGATAACTATAAATCCAATAAAATTATTGAGATGTTGAAATAAGGCTGCAAATTGAAGTATATCGCCAACAAACTCAATATTGCCTACAGCATTATATCGAAGACATGGACTACTTTCAAAATGATAGATGCAGCTGTTCAAAGAAATGAGATGGTCTTCCATGAACATTCTGTGATTACTACAAGCCAAAACTGACATCAGCCAACAGTAATCATTCCGAAACAGAATAGGGACAACCTCCTCCCATGATTCATCCCAGATAAAGACGCATCTGTACCAAAATTATATCAAAAGCCTATCTAATTGGGTAATAGATTTTTAAAATTTCCCAAAATCCTCAATATTTAAGAATTTGCTAGCATGTTTAGATTATTGTGTTTAATCAGTACCTTGACACACACCTTAATCAGACATGCATCATCACTTCATGAGACACATAACCTTTTTTCTAATCCAATGGATGGTGAAACTATAACGCATGTCAGTATGTCATAAGTAATACGAGAACCCCTTTTGGGCGAAATGTATTTTCAGAGCTGTTGATAAGGAAAAAAATTGCATTAAAAATATATTTGTCTCTTACCAATGGCCCCACCATTGTCAACATGTGCTGTCCTTTCCTCGGGTGTGGTCAAGTGTATTCTTGTCATACAGATGCTTAACTGGAGGTACTCAGCCAGCAAAGTGGCTGTTGCCATCTTGGTTCATGTGACAAATGAAAGTGATGTATGTATAATGATGTCATATTTGATATTTTTATTTTTTGTGGAAATGATAATACTTTTTCTAATAATAATAAGTTTTCTGTTTTTGTGGCAATGACGATTTTTTTCCTTTTTTGCGGCAACAACTTCTTGAACCACATATTTGGGATAACATCAATTTTGATTAATTTCCTCAATATTTTTAATTATTTAATGCCATTATTTTTAATTATTTAATATGTCATTAGTTTTAATTGAGCATCTTATTATTTTAGCTGTTGTCATTTTTAATTTATTCCATTATTTATTATAACAATACTTTATCCATGAATTTTACCGAGACGAGCCTGCAACTTCTCACATGACAGTTGCTCACATTAACATGAAGCCACAACAGACACTCAGAAAAACTCATCTTTTGACTTTGTCTACCAGTGAAAACAATCACGACATCAGTAAGCTGGAGGACTGCACATG